AAATGTAAAGTTTTTTTTATAAATATATATAAAATATGCGATATCTATTTGAGACTGTGCGCGTGTGCATATATTTGTGTATATATATATACACGCGCACACATACACACACACGAAAAAGCATTCTTTTGTGGAGTTGTGGAAAATTTCTATTTTTCTATTCTTTCCTTTGGCCGGTGTAGTTATGAACTTTACTCTGCAATTAGGTGACTAATGTCTTGGAAATAAATAGTTTTGAGTTATAATGATGTGTGTTTTGTTGTTTGTTCGCCAGGTGAGCAGTGAGTAACACCTTGCCATTAGTGGGAAATGGGAGGGGAAACACAGCGGGTCTCATTCACTAACCACACGATCTGCATAGAAACACTTTCATGCAGAAATCCTTATTCGGTTCCCACTGAAATGTAGCCTACATTTGATTTTAAAACCAACTGAAAAAACGCCTATGCAAAAAATCACAGAAAGCAAGGTTAATTTACCGTCACATATACCCTGAACTCTCGGTTGATTAACCCAAATCTGGCTTATTTGAGGTATGCTGGTTCCAAAAACGCGTCCGGGAGTAAATTCAGTCAACTTCGAGTATGTTCACGGTTCTCAACAGAGCGACGAACCGACGAGTCACCATGGAAACCAACGCTAAGAAAAAGTGCGCCATACTGCTTCTTTCTTCTTCTTTTGTTCAATGGTCATTTACATCATCATTCTTACTATTCGGTGCCATTTCAGTTTGGTAACGTTCCATAAAAAATTGTGTACATTTCCATGATGTAATCATTTTATCTGAAGAAGGGCTTGTTACACTATAAGAAAAATATGTTGGTCCAGCTCAGGATATTATTCTTTAATAATTTTTCACGGAATTCCTCAGAGGTGCAAGGACCAAATGTCCACCCTGTTACATGACATTCTCATCTCAATTAACAAGTGTTTTGAATGCACAGTTGTTGTAATATTTAAATATAACAAATTCTAAGAGCTAAAATGTACCTCTCTTTACTCTGCAAATGTATTTTAACAAAGTGTTCATAATCGGGCATTATTTAGAAAAAAGTTGTATTTTTGAGACACGGTGTAATTTCAACACATTTCTTTTAGAATAAAAATAAATGTAAATGGAATTTTGGAACCATTTTAACTTATTTCGTTTTACCATTTAATTCCCTACAAGTAACCACAAATATATGCATAGCATTTGTTGAACTTATTTTAGTAATATCAAAAAAAAAACACTGAGGTAACGGGGTGGACAGAGGGGGAAACAGGGTGGACAGGACGGTGGAAATCACACCACTAAACAACAGTATATTTCAACATGTTGCCTAATACAAGAAGCATATTGTCACAATTTACAATCACTACAACAGATAAATGGTTCTGTATATAAAATGTATAGGATATAAGGCCTATTATCACATTAAAGTAAGTTGTTCTTATACCTATTATTATAAGATCTCATTTGTTATGCTGTCCATTTATTAGGCTACAAAATAGGTTTATCATTGTATTTTACTATTGAAAGTTTATAGTTTTAGAGAACATATTATTTTGCTCTCTCTCTCACACACACACTAAAATTCCTATCGTTATGGGTTCATGCCATAGGCGTAATGGTTTTCTGCTGTACAGTCTGTATTTTCTATATCCTTACGCTAACACTACACCTAAACCTACCCCTCACACAAAACTACAGTTGTTTTAAATTTTCAAAACACAAAACTACAGTTATTTTAGGTTTTCAAAACACTTCATTCTGTATGACTTAGAGTATAAGCTGTTTTCCTCATGGGAACCAAATAAATGTCCCCACAAGATGAAAGTTTACTGTTATTACTATACCTGTGGGGACATTTGGACCCCATAATGCAGGGAATACCAGTACACACACACACACACACACAGCACGTAGACACACACACATTGTAATGGCAAAGTCAAGATAATTTATTACAGTTTCTACCTAATCAACAAAACTGAGTTCTAACACTTTCTTTTTTTTCCTATGTCCTTTCTCCACCTCCCCTTCTTTTTATTGAGGTATATTTGCCTTCTTTCAGGGTGTGCATCACAACGAGACCTGTAGCGTCGCTGCTTTTCTTCAGCAGACAACAGCGCCATTTCCTGACAATTACATGCATACTATTTAAGCAACTCTTTCTTTTAATTGCAAAATAAATTCATTATAAGTACCAGTACATGCTTTAATCATTTATTTATGTATTTTTTACATCAGATGTTACAATATGTCCACCCTGTTACAGTGCAAAACAGTAACCGGGTGGACAGTAACAGGAGGGACATTTTATGCTAAAGTCAGCTATTGCTACTCATGTAATAAACAACAAGCTAGTGCATAGTGATCACAGAGGAAGATTTTTAACCTGCTTATTAATCATATTTTCAAAATGACAAAAAATTATCAGTTTCCATTAGAAATAAGCATAACAGAGTAGACATGTTATGCTTTACCACATCAGTGAGTCATTATAAAACACTGAAAAAAGGGTGAATTAAAGATTGTTAATTACTTTGCTTCTTGTAGATAGTTTGCCAACAAAAAGTGTTATACTTCCTGAGAATAGTGTTATTAGAGAAACATTCAAGGGCCGTGTTCAGAGGGACTTTTCATCAGAGTAACGGGGGACATTCAATTCAGGAATACAACATCTTTTAAAGACTTTAAGCATTAAAAATGTATAAATAACAAAAAATATATTTTGTTGAGGAATATTATAAATAAGAATATACAACAATATTGAAAAAATTGGAATTTGTTTGATTTTTATTACTTATATTTGTGGCTGAAGTTATGCAAGCTTACTTGGGGACATGGCATTTTAGCCTACTTGCACTAAAATAAGAGTAATTATTTTTAATTAATAAATTTTTAAGCACATATTTATTGTGTTTGATTGTAGAGGGGCAGTAACTTTGTAAGATTAGCATTCAGAAACAAGTATTAACCCATTTTTACGCCAAATATACCACATTATGTCATGGGGACTCAAATGGCCCCGAATACTAGGAAGACTATTTACCTTCTTAGTGCATATCGCCACCTAACTGATGGTTGTGCAATTATTTTTGACATTTTTTTTTTCGTTTAATCTTTTAATAACTGAGAATAAGAATTATATTCTCTGTTTGATGCTAATTACGTAATAAGAAATATCACATATGTATTTTTATTATAGAAATACATTATAGAAAATGCAGATCCACGATGTGTGAGATGGCAATAAAATGTAATAAATATATCAGAATAAAATAAACATTACCTTGTTATAATAGTTTTATAATTTATATATCGATAACTATTATATATGACAATAAATATAACATAATAGAATAATATAATATTACCTTATATATTACTTATAATAGTGCTTTATAATTAACATATCATACAACTATATATATATATATATATATATTAGCATATTTGATAACTATATTGTAATCATATATAGGTCACGCATGTGCTGATAGAGCTGAAGTAAACTAACCCTGAAACATAACCTACTTCGAAGCAGGTTATGTTCAGAGAATAAGATGCTATGGCTACTTGCATACCCTGAGAGTTACCGCCGTTTTTGGAACCGAAAGCTAAATTTATCCGCTTACTTACCCTTAAACATACCCGGGTATGTCACATAACCTGCTTTCTGGAATACCCCCCTGGAGGCCTTGAAAATATAAGTTAGTCACGTCTTTCCCCGTGACATATCTGAACATACCTGACAGTTAAATTGGGACTGAAATCATACAGTACTTTTTTTTTATTCTTTATTAAACATTTTAGATTTATAACTATTAACAGCAGAGCCCAAGATCCGCCCATATTCATAAGATACAAATAAAGGAAAAGAATTGTATCAAAGACTGTATGCCAGAAAAAAAAAGAAAAACTATTACCAAAACAATATTAGAGGGATAACAAGTACATCTCAAGATTCCAAAAGGGCAATGTCCAGCAAGTAGGACATCCAAGTAAACATAACTGGGGTAGATGGATCCAAAAGAAAAAAAGCAGTGGGTCCTTTTGGATTTGAGTCCTCTGAAGATCAGACAATAAGTCCCGTACCAAGGACCAGAACAACACAATTCTGGGACAGTCCCAGAACATATGCTTATATGTACCTTGACTTGAGCTGCAACACAGGTGACAAAAAAGGTCCGACTTTCTTTTCATTTTACATATAGTACTTTTTAAAAAAACTAAGTTTTTAAGTCTAGTGGCCTTGGTCAGTTTTTTACCCATTGAACTAGTGTATAAAGCTTGATCAGTTATTAACAAAGCTATTATTTAAGATAAAATTAAGAAATTTAATTTAAGAAATCCTAGAGGTATTACTGACCTAATGAAATATAAACACGGAAACAATTTCTCTCTAATGGAGTGTTCCTGGGATAAACTGAGACACATCACAGGGCCCAAATGTATTACCATGTTTATTTCTCAAAGATAGAACATTAAAAAGTAACAGAATCTACAAACAAAACCGGTTAAAACAAGATAAAATTAATAAAGCGTTACTAGACAATTCACAATAGTACCTCGACAACCTGAAAAAGCGTTTTTGTGGGTTTGTTATCTAAACAGATTTTTCCAATATGCTGTAGAACTATTTACCCGACGTACATGAATGTGAATATTTGCCATCTCATCAGAACAGAATGAATACCGACTGCAGTGCTAATAGCATTCTGTAAATAACGGCACCATTTTAAATTGCTTAAGAGAGCTCCTGAGGACTGACTGTCATTCCCATTTCTGTGACATTACAGAAGTGCTTTTTCATAAATCCATTGTTTTTAATATTTCCATAATGCATCTGGACACTGAGAGCCAATCGGCACAAGCTGAACCGAACGTCATCTCAAACTCAAGCCCTGTTTGAAATGGCAGGATTAATTACAGCTACATCTTTGGAGACACAGAACCTGTCATACATCACTATAAAAGATCAAAATCATACAAGGTTATGAGGGCCTGAATATGAACTGCATATTTATTTATTTTACAAAACCATGGGTGGCCCCCAGATTGGGGCGAAAAACATGAAGGATTGGATATGGCTGGTACGCTTGAAGTGGCAGAGTGAAGGGCCGTTTAACTGCAGTAGTACTGGCCTGCGTTGGCTCGTCGTCTCTTGCGGCTTTGCTGCTGTTCAAAGAAGTGACGGATGTCCTCAGGCGTCACCACCTAAACGAGGAAGGAGAGGAGGAGAAAATGAACACTAGACACTACAAGCTTACTTCAACTACTCCACACACTCACAAAATAATAAAACACTGAAAACCTACCTTTCCTTCTGCTGCAAATCGCTGCAGGTAGTCTTTCAGTTCTGTCTTCATGTCATTATATTCTGAGGAAAAATTAAATGTCAACTTCACAGTTGATAGAAGTAGTAGTTACATTTGAAATCTCATGTCAATCAGAAAACTAATTGGTTTTGCTTTCACACATAAGGATGTTAGTACCACTAAACTCCACTAACCATGGATGATCTCCAGCTGCTGAACCCGATTTAAGTTGTTTAGGGCCGACATCAAGGGGTCGCGACCCTCGGCTCCACCTGCTTGTTCAGCCTGCTCTGTGGACTTGCCCTTGTTTTCATACGCCAGGACAGTGTCCATCTCATCCATGAGGAAAGGCACTCCTGCATCTGCATAGAGGATCTAAGTAAAGAAACCAAAACATGAGACTAGGAACAATATTGTTTTTTGGGGTTTTTTTTTAATGTTGCAGAATTACATCAGCTGAACCCGATTTAAGTTGTTTAGGGCCGACATCAAGGGGTCGCGACCCTCGGCTCCACCTGCTTGTTCAGCCTGCTCTGTGGACTTGCCCTTGTTTTCATACGCCAGGACAGTGTCCATCTCATCCATGAGGAAAGACACTCCTGCATCTGCATAGAGGATCTAAGTAAAGAAACCAAAACATGAGACTAGGAACAATATTGTTTTTTGGGTTTTTTTTTTAATGTTGCAGAATTACATCAGTTAATCAAGGGTGAAAGCAGTACCTATTAACTAGTAAATCTCCTCTGTAATGTGTGTGTTTGAGCTGTACCTTGCAGTCGGCGCAGGTGCAGAGTTTTATGCGCCAGGCAGAGGGCCAGAACATGGCGCCCTGCAGAGTCTGGCTCCTCCCCGAGGCCTTCATCTCTCTCAGCCTGCAACCTGAGCATGAACCCTCCTCTGAGGAACCTTCAGTTTCTTCCTGGTGTTTCCGCTTACAGGCGGATGTCCCGTTGACCTGCACCTGACGGCAGAGAGAAGGTCACCAAATCTTGTGTAAATTGTTAAAATCATTTAACAGCAAAAAACAATGTGGTGCAAATTTAGTTTAGCTCGATTCTTTCAAATTCAGGCTTAATTGAGACAGATGACGCGCATATGAGATTCCACAAGGAAAAATCTTTCAGACATGCATCATTTAACAGAACTACTGCCACCTTGTGGTGAGACTTCAAAACAAAGGCAAATCTGTATCTAAAACCGCTTTAAGGGTGTTTGCACACCTGTAGATTGATTGCTTTGTTCCGAAACAGGGATTAAAATTATTACAATGTTGCTTTTTATTCTTGGTGCGGTTCGCTTTCACACGGCAAAGTTTCTAAACGGACCAAATTTGTGAATACAAGTCACGTGCGAGTAAACTGTTGTCTCAATGGTCAAAGTCCCAGTTTATTTTCTGGGATTCCACTTAGCTGTCACGCATGTCATCCGTCAGGATGGAATGACAACAGCTTTTTTTTTTTGTAGCTGTCCTTATATTAATTGATCATTTTGAGCAGGAGTCCAGGATTCATTGGGAAAACATTTTTAAAATGCACCTACTAGGAAGAAGAGCAAATAAGACGGCATTATAAAATGAAAAAGTTAGTTTTTTTATTTTGAATGGCGAAGACGTGCTCTCCCACAGACATTCACAGGTTCATTTTGAAGTATCGGCAAAACAACAAAGCTACTGCTTTTCACGGAGCTTACGTAATTACCCATCATAAATTGTGATATAGCCTGGTTCGTTGGTCCGTTAGATCGGATTGCTTTCTCACTACAACCGAACCGCTCCAGAGTTCGTTTTCAATCGAGCCGAGACCACCTCGTTCAGGCGATCTCGGACCGAATGTTTTGGCGCGGATCCGGGCGCGATTGCAGTGTTCACATATGCCCAAACGAACCGAGAGCTAAGGGGGGAAACGCGCCAGGTTCCGAAACAACAGGCCAGGTGTGAAAGCACCCTAAATCATTAATGCATCTAGTGTCTTCAAACACTTATTCATTGAATACAAGTATCAGATTTAAGTTTGGCTGTCCACAAAAAAAATGGACAGGAATGAATGGAATAAAATACCATGTAATGATTCATCCTCCCATTTAGAGACAAGAAACGGACACATTACAGTCCACAGTAAGTACCTTCACATCTACAGGGCTCTTCGGGTTCTCATTTTTAATCTTCTCCTCTTCATCATTTTCTACCTCCACCTTCACATCCTCCTCTCCTTTGCATGGACTTACTTTTGTTATGGATGGCACTGAAGCAAACAATACAAAATAAACCTTCACAAATGTATAAATGTTGTAAACACTGTAAATATTTTTACTGTCAATTTTGATCAGTTTAATGTGTCCTTGCTGACACATTAATTTCTCTCTTTTTAAAGAGAACCTTGCACTAATTTTCATACTAAATATCTGTGAATGCAAAATGGAAGCAGAAAAAAATATGACAACATTACCTTCAATATGTGCAGCATAGTTCCAAAGGAAAGGTGTTTTATTCATGCACGACTGGCAGATCATCTCTTGCAGCTCCACACAGTCTGGCACTACGCAGCCTAAATGCTGAGAGAAACACACTTAGATGTTCTCAAACATTTCAACCTGAATACATCACTTTGCTTATCTACACAGACAAAGAACATTAAATCATGTTCATGTCCTGCCTGACTGCAATCTGATTTGAAACTAACCCGACCATGGAACCAGTCCTCACACACAATACACTGGATCATCTCATCAGGAACCTGAAGAGAAAACAAGGTTCATATATGTTTGTAACCTACAGTATGTAATATAATATAAGCACTCCAAATAGTCAGTAGCTTCTTACAAATACAATTCAAATCAGAGTAGAGATTAATAATTAAAAAGAGAATATGCAATACAATATATGAAAACAGAACTATAGATAGAAAGAACATTATAGAATGCAGCTTAAATTAAGCCGCACATTACCTCGTCCTCTGGATCTGGGTAGGGTCTGTCACATGTGCAATACAAGCCAAAAAAATTGTGGCTGTATTTGTTCCCTGAATTCACGTTTTCTTTATCCTGTGTAATAGAAATCCATAATCACCATTACTACAATTAAAACTGAAAGACACACATTCAAACTAACGGTAAAACATAACTTACCGCAAATAGCTTGCACTCCATTTCCCCAAACTTGTCGTTCCCACAATCACATCGGAAATTCCTGTATTATCAATAAGGTTTAAATATTGAGTGCAGCTTACTCGTAACATGTCATAATGATGCAGCCAGTAACAAATACGTAAAGGAAAAAAACATCTAAATAATCTCACTATCATAGTGACAATAATATTAATACAAATTAGATAAAATATAATGGGAAATGTAGCTGGAACCTCATCAGCAGACCATATTCAATAAATGTTAGAGTCAATCAGACTCTGCTAAATGAGTTAGAGCAGCAGCAAATGTACTTTCTTTAACATAGTTTCACAGCTTGAGTGGTTATTTTAGATGGTTTGTGGGAATATTCACCTCTTGGTATAGAGCTCAAAAAGGTCATGGCCTTCATGGCACTTGTAGGAACATGCCAGACAGATGCCCGCTGGCTCTCCTCCCTTTGGTGTGCAGGTGTTACAGGCATACAGAGCCTGACGCTTCACATATCCCTGTCAGAACAAAAAAATCACCTTGTTTTCAGGACATATAACTTATTTACATTTGATCATGTGAATGTACATTCAGAGCATTTGCTGACAACTACTGTTGAACGCACTGAAAATGCATCCTGCTTGATCCTGCTATTATCTGTTAATGCAAGAACGTTTATTTCAAACAAACAGCCGCAGCATCGAATTAATAATCATGTTTTATGCTAAACCCAAATCAAAATAATCCTACAAACAATTTGCAAGAATTATGCTGAAAACCAAGATGAAACAGGCTGTGTCAAGCAACGTATAATCCGCATGCTAAAAACTGATTATATGAAAAGTCAGCGTTTACATAAAGACGTCAAACCTCTGGATACGAGCATTTCTCGGAATCACTCCCTCCAAGAACAGCGGAGGCTTCGTTCTCCAGCTCTTCATCCTCCTCTAAGACGTCCACCAGAGATACAGTAGCATCCTCCTCTCCATCATTTGCCGCCATCCTTGAAGAGACGAGCGCAAAAAAATATATATTTCTAGTTCCTGTTCCAGGGCACGAAACGAGTCACGAACGAACTCAACTGTCACCGAGATCAGGTTTGACTGGAGACAGCGGGTCCTCTGTAATATAACTAAAGGAAAGATGTGGGAAAGTGTCATGCAATTTAACGTTAACTTACCCGAACAATTTTTCAGGCTTGACAATAACAAAAACCAACGCTGCTTCCGGTTTATGCAAATATAAGATGTTTTGGCGGGAGAGTTGCGGGAGTTGTAAATATAATTTATTATTTCAGAGCTATTTTTTTCTGACTAACGTGTATTATTACATCACACCCACATTAACTCAATGATTCCAGATGAACAGAAAAAATAAGAAATTTCGCAAAACCAACTCGATAGGTCAGAGTTCAAAGGGTAGATCAGTGTTGCCATGTCCACTTATTATACCACTTATAAATAGTGCATCACTTACTGATTTGTTATTATATATATATCCTCCTGACAACCAGCTATGGAGTTTTGTCCTCCATAGAGGACATTATTTTTTAGCGATTTATTTGGGAACTTCCATGTCACAGTTTTAAGTCTGGATGTCCTGTACAGAGCACATTCAGAGCTTTTTAGAGATACCAGTTGTTTGGATGTTTCACCATGACCACTCCCTCTCCTTGGTCTTTAAATATGGCTGACATTAATTTAGTGATCAAATTCAATGCCATTATGGAAATATGATCATATTTTGTAATTGTAAAGTTTTGCAAGTGCGTTGGGTAATGATCATTTCAATCTGACTAATTTTCAAATTGTTGGTCATAAATCAACATCTCAGGAAAATGTTATGGGGTTTCAAATCAAAATATGACTTTCTGTTACCAAGCAGGACATTGATTTCATACATGTCCACTGTAGAGGACACAACCTAAAGTATGTTTATTACACATTTTGGGAGACACAACAAATGAATAGGGAAAGAAATTATATTTCAATATTCCTATGAAATATAAAATATTATTATGAAAATCTTGCCAATGATTACTCCCATTATTGCACTTCTTTTTTCATTACATGTTGACCCAAAAACAAATTAATATGCAAATTACATACAGTTTGTAGATACATTGTACATAATGAGACAACCCGTTTATGGCCATTTTACGCACATGTTGCATAAAGGAAAATGGTATATCAAATCATTCTGTTATATCTTTCATAACATAGTTTCAGAATCATTTTTATAAAAAGTTTGGTATAAAAAATTAAAAATGGATTGGGGATTTTTTTTTAAAAATCACTGTTTTTGCCTTTTCATGTCTATTCATGTCTTTTTATTTATTTTAAAAACAGGACTTTTTAAAGTCCCGGTGTCCTCTTCAGAGGACATAGCATAACATATGGATAAAATACCATTTTTTATATAAATTATTCCATTGTCACATTTTTATATCGTTATGTTCATGTTTATGCTTATGTCTGCCTTTTGTTCATTGTTAATTTGCCGTCTGTTGCATTTATTTAGATGACCAGTTGTATATTGAAATATTTGAGCAATTGTTTGTACAATTATGTAATTACTGATAATAATATTTTAAAGAATTTTGTAGTTTATTCATGTAAACCTGTAATGTACTCTATTCCATTCTATTTTATAAATCATTTTTTTAGATGCTCCATTTTTTTAGTCCATGTTGCGTGGTTTTCCTGTGCGATCTGGCAACCGAGTTACAGTGTGTACCTGCAATATGGCAGCGTGCGAGCTGAAGGGAGAGCTGAAGTACCGAGATGGACAGACAAACCGACAGTTTACAGTACAAGTAGATGGCAATTTGAAATCAATGATAACTGGCATCAAGAAATTAAATGCTGATATATCTGAAGTTTTGACGGCTCTTGTTGAACAAGAAAGGGGCTCAGTGGAAAACAGCACAGCAGATGTAGATGGTAAGCTGTTAAAATGAAGACTGGGTTGTTTAAATGGGAAACCAACAAACTTTCATGTCTTTTTATTTATTTTAAAAACAGGACTTTTTAAAGTCCTGGTGTCCTCTACAGAGGACATAGCATAACATTTTTTATCATTTTTCAAAAATGTTTTTTTTTTCCGTTACAGTTACAAATTACTTAATGAAAAAAGTATTCAGTAAAGTAATGCAAGCACCACAATATGAAAATAATGTAATCTGAGTACGTTTGGATTCCTTCAAGGTCACATATGTAAATATAGTAAAGTAATAGCAATATCATCAAAAATACTTATATTTATTATTATTATATTTTATTTTTATTATTATTATTACATTATTACATTATATCCTCCTGACTACCAGAAGAATTTTTTTTTTTAATTTAATATTTTTTCATGTCATCACATTGTTTAGAGCATAAGAAAAAAAAAATTTCCCCAAAAACTTCGGTTTCTTCAGCATGTAATAATAAACCACTGTGCAATCAACTGGATTCAAACTCTTTTTATTTATTTTGTCTTTTTATTTCTTTTAAAAACAGGACTTTTTAAAGTCCTGGTGTCCTCTGACAGACAAACCGACAGTTTACAGTACAAGTAGATGGCAATTTGAAATCAATGATAACTGGCATCAAGAAATTAAATGCTGATATATCTGAAGTTTTGACGGCTCTTGTTGAACAAGAAAGGGGCTCAGCGGAAAACAGCACAGCAGATGTAGATGGTAAGCTGTTAAAATGAAGACTGGGTTGTTTAAATGGGAAACCAACAAACTTAAAACAAAAAGATAAAATAAAATAAATGAATAAAAAATCATACAATAAAGACTAAGACGGTGGCAGATGACAGCGAGCTCCTTAACTTTACTGATACTGTCTTCTGTCGTTTGCTAAGCAAATATGTTAAGCAGTGACACAACTGGCTTCTATTTACTTACTTTAGAATACTTTATTATTTACATATTCTTATTACAATTAAGATTGTTACTTTTTATTCATTATATTTGATCTAATTTTGTAACTTCTTTCTATTTTTGAAACCCATGTTATAGATGAAGAAGAAGAGGACAGTGACGAAGAGGATAGTACCACAGAAATGGCCACCAAAAAGTCAAACTCAGAACCTCCAAACAAGCGGATAAAGACTTTGCGGTCATGATCTTCAGAGCTGTCGTTGTTTTGTTATGACCTTTATAAAGGCGTGTTGTTACATCAGTACCCTCCTCCTCAGAAAAAAAACTTTCTCAGCTTTCTCATTGTTCAAGACAATGTTGGGATTTTGCCTTATTTTGTTGATGTATTTCTTAGTTATTTTTCATAACTTCATGTAACTCTTAAAGGCAAAAGGGAAAATTGTTTTATCAATAAATTTTTCCTGTTGTAAAAAGTTATAAATTGACAATGGTTATCAGTACTTCGGTTTCTTCAGCATGTAATAATAAACCACTGTGCAATAAACTGGATTCAAACTGTCCAATAAAATGTCTGAGTTTCTGATTGGAAAATCAGTGTAACCGTTCAAAGAATACACACTGCACATTACATTTCTTTATTTATTTTTTTTCAGAATCCAGAGTTGTTTCAAACCACAGTGTATTAAGTTTGCAATGGAAATGTATTAACGAATACCCATTAAACATTATAAATTCACAGTCAAGCCCTTTTAGACAAAAATGATTTGCCTTTTTTGAACATTTCAACAAATGCATAAAATCATCCACATATGACCAAAGACACTGCCGCCACAAATGAAGTGATTTAAAAAATTGAAACACTTGGATCTGAAGTTGAGAAGTTTGATACCCAATGTCTTGTGCCAGACTCATTACAACCCACCACACCCAACAAGTCTAAATAACCTTTGCATTTCTTATACAAGATAAGATTATTCACACTGTAAAATGCTGATGTCCCTCAACAATAAGACATGAGATTGAGTCCACAACTATTCCACACATGCATGAATATGAACAACTTGTTTTCTGAAACACAGATATATTTTCTCTGAGGACACTTGATTATCACTAGAATCATGAAAATGAGTATTTGTCAAATAAACACAAATTAAAGAATTGGAAAATTTACTCTTTCCATGTCTAGAGCTGACAAGAAATCATACTTGAACAAAAATACTGATATTAAAGTGAATTCATCACAGATTGTTTTTTTAATACAAAAGTTTCCTTATTACAACTCCTTTCTTTGTCCCTGCCTTGAGTGCAGTTTATTCAAAACAAATGAAAAGACAGACACTGTTCTAAGCAAATGGAAAATACATATGTGGCACCACTGTAAGCGTTTTCTTATTTTCCACTAATAAAATGTCCACTGGAGTTGAGAACAAAAGCCTGGAGCATTAAAGTGACACTACAAATCCATCAGACTCATAGTACGGAAACTTTTACAGCTGTCCACATCTTTATTCATCTTGATTTATAGTAAATCTACCCACCATTAGACGTGTAATTCAAGTAGTATACAGAGTTCAATATGCAGCCCCATCAACATTCTCCACATCTTGGACGATGGCTTACTTGACTCCATTTAGGCTAATTAGATTTCATTTATTAAATTTCATTTCAAATATAAAAGTTTTTTTTTTCTTCAGTTAATTAAAGACAAAGCTTCTAAAAAAAGTTCTGTAAGACTGAGCTGACATGGAAAATACTTCTAGATCCCATTATAAGTTTTCTTTACTTAAAATGCGGACCAATTTTGCCATTCAGCTTGAAAGAGTATGAAACATCACCTATAGTCCAGTGTTTTTTTTTGCTAAAAATACACAATAAAAACTGGTGTGGAACTGCAATGCTTGTATGCTATTTTAAACTTTTTTACTTTTGAAACATTCACACCTTTTAAAACACACCACAGACATGGACTTTCAAAAACAAGCAAAACACAATGGTTTTAATTGTTTGCTTTTAACAAAGATTGCAATTTTATTTTAAACCATGTGAATTCATTTTAGTTATTCTAAGGAAAAAAAAAAAAAAAAAAAAATGTACAAAGAAAAGAATCCTAAACAAATTCCCCTTTTAATTCCTACACCAAAAAAAAAGGACCAAGCCTTAAAAAATAATCTTATTTATGAATGCACTTTTGTATTTTCCCAACCCCAAACTGTATGGCCAAAATCTGACCCCTCATCTTTAACAATCACTTCAAGTGTCAATCAGCTGCAGTTTGCTGATCTGATTGGAGGCCTTGGCAAAGGTTTGGTGACGGTTGCAGAGAACAGCAAGGCAGATAGGCAGAATACAGTATCCTACAGTCTTGGGGTCCGCCCTTGTGCAGGAGTAAAGAAAGAGAAACA